AAATCATCAATAACAAAAAATCTAATGCCAACTTTTTCCATGTTTTCGGATGCAGGTGCTTTACTATGAATCGTAAAGATAGTCGCGTCAATAACAGAAAACCTAATGTCAAATTTTTCCATCTTTCAAAATTTCAAGCAAAAGTTGATGAAGGGATTTTCCTTGGATGTTCGCATAAATATGTTGCTTATCTTGTGCTAAACAAACGAACTTGAAAAAGTGGAAGAAACATTTAATCTTACTTTTGATGATTAATATATTAAACAATTTGACAATATCCAATATTACAAGAAAATCAAACTGAATCTGAAAATATACAATCATTCGATATTGATTATGACTTGTTTTTTGGAAATTCAGATTATGTTGCAAATGTTGAAGGTAATGCTCCTGATAATCATGTCACCGAAGTTTCAAAACTAAATGATGATTCAACATCATCTCCTCAAACAATGGGCGAAAGTATGCATAATGATCCAATGGAGGGGGAGTACTCGGATTTGAACACTCTACTTGAAGGGGAGCATTCTTTCGAGAGGGAGAATCAAAGGGCATGTGATGATGTTGAGGGGGAGCAATTAAATGATCATATTGAGGGGAAGTTAAATCAAAATGATGAAACTTATAATGATATTAATGATGTTGGTTCAACTGCAAGATCTGAAATGAAGAATTGTATCGAAGATGCACCTTTGGACTTTGATCCAGCTTATCCACCAATGGACAAATGGATAAAAGATCATCCGAAGGAACAAATAATTGGTAATCCACAAGAAGGAGTTTTTACAAGAGTTCAAATTCGTGCAAAGAATGAGGTATTAAATGCTCATCAAGAATTTTGTATGTTCAACGTTTTTATCTATAAAATTGAACCAAAAACAGTTAAGATTGCAATGGAACACTCAGATTGGGTTGTTGCAATGTAATCTGAATTGTCTGAATTTCAACGAAATAAGGTTTGGAGGTTAATTCCTAAACCAAATGATATTTCGATTGTCGGATGAAAATGGATTTTCAAAAATATAGCCGACAAAGATGGAAATATAATTCGAAACAAAGCCAGACTTGTTGTTAAGGGATATTCTCAACAAGAATGAATTGATTACAAAGAAACTTTTGCCCCTTTTGCAAGACTCGAGGCAGTTCGTATATTTTTGGCTTATACAGCTCAAAAAGATTTTGATGTATATCAAATGGATGTGAAGTGTGCATTTCTGAATGGAGAACTCGAAGAAATAGTGTATGTGGTACAACCTCCAGGTTTTATAAACAAAGAGCATCCAGATTATGTTAATATTTTATATAAGGCAGTTTATGGTTTGAAACAAGCACCACGAGCCTGGTATGCTATTCTTACTTCATTTTTGAAGCAATCTTAATTTTAACAAGGATCATTTGACCCCACATTATTTCTTAAGAAAGTTGGGAATCATCTAATGTTTGTTCAAATTTATGTTGATGATATTATTTTTGGCTCAACTGACCCTGCTTTGTCTAAAGAATTCGAAGATCTGATGAAGTGTAAGTTCGAAATGAGTATGATGGGAAAAATTAATAATTTTCATGGTTTGAACATTTGTCAAAACAGAGAAGGAATTTTCATAAATCAAGAAAAATACACGAAGAATTTGCTCAAAAAGTTTGGCTTAGTGAATAGCACGAAATTACTCATTCCAATGGCAACTGGCATTAAAGTCACTCCTTCGTTAGATAAACTTGTCGTTGATATAACTTTATACAGAAGCATGATTGGATCTTTATTGTATTTGACTACAAGTAGACCTGATATCACGTTTTCGGTTTGTAATTGTGCTAGGTATCAATCAAATCCTCGAGAACCACATCTCACTATTGTGAAGAATATATTTCTTTATCTCAAAGGAACATCTTCGCATGGATTGTGGTACCCTTCGGATACTGGATTTTTTATTCAAGAATATTCTGATGCCAATTTGTGAGGATGTAATCTGGACAGGAAAAGTACAAGTGGTGCTAGTCAATTACTTGATGGTAAATTGGTAAGTTGGCAATCGAAAAGGCAGACATGTGTTTCTATCTCAACGGTCGAAGCTGAATATGTTGTTGTTGCTGCTTGCACATCACAGATAATATGGATTCAAAGTCAATTACGTGATTATGAAATTATTATGAAAAAGATTCCGTTATATTGTGATTCACAAAGTGCAATAAGAATTTGTCATAATCCTGTGCAACATTAGAAGACCAAACACATTGCTCTTCGCTATCATTTCATAAAAGATCATATAGAAGATGGGAATATTGAAGTTCATTTTGTGAAAACTACTGATCAATTGGCTGATATTTTCATGAAAGCATTGGATTAAAAATCGTTTGTAAGAATATTATAAGGAGTTGGAATGGTTGATCGTAATTAAATTTCATGCAAAAAAAAGATTGACAGTTCGTAGATACGTCTTCAATGGATAAGGTTACTGTTCATTTGTCACTCTTCGAATGCTTTGAATTCGTATGATTGGAATTTTTTTTCTTGTTTTAAAACTCAAACATCTACAACAACTAACTTTTGTGCATTTTTTTTATTTTTTGTTCTTTATTTTCGAAAACTCAAAAACATCAAAAAGATTTTCATTTTATTTTGTTCTTTCTTTTCGAAAAATCAAAAAAAACAAAAGATTTTATTTTTTGTTTAAGTACTTTTCTGTAGATTTTCTTGAAGAGATGAAGAGGCAAATGTTCGCAGGTTCTAGGTTCAGGTATAAATCTCTAGTCTTCAAATTTTAAAATTTAAAAACTAGTTATGATGCCGTAGAAGCATGCTGCAGCATGTTGTCTAAAGCCTCGAGTTGACTCAATGTTCGAAAGCCTTAATGAAATTATTCATACGAAGATTTCTTCCCAATAAGGCTTACATTCACATTAGTCCAATGAGCTACCTTACTCTTATCACATGAGTTAAGAGCTTTCTTTTGGTCCAATATAACAGAGCTACATTCTTTCTAAGGAACCAATCTTTTTCATCTTAAAATTCTTACACTTGCACACACACGAAGACATATATCTACGAGGTTTCTGGTCAAAACCAATCGAAATCTAGATATATCACAAATATGTGTTAATGATCAGTCGTCATGAGACCGTGATGATAGTGAAACCCAAATTTCTTTCCAAATTAAGGAATTGACAAGGAACTATGTTCCAGCTTTCACGAAACTTTTGTTTCAGTACCAATCTTCAAAACTCCAAATCATATTCCTTTCGTATGAGTGATCTTGATCAAATTTTCATAACCCACGAAGTTTGTTACCCATCAAGATCCAGCATAATTCTTTTTTTTTTTTAATGAGTATGATTTATGTGTGAGTTTACTTCGAATCCCAAAGTTACTTTAAATATTTTTCAAAGCACACTTGTCACTGGCTACACTGGTCACACAAGTAATTTATGTTACAATTACTCACCTTATGTTAAGGCTGATCTGTAACGAAATTGTTTTTAGCCACCCATGTAATCTTACAAAAGATGCCCTTTGAAACTTATCTACAAGTTTTTGATTGTATTTCACGGGAATATACACAAACTGTTGATTATCTCTCTTGATAATTAACGAAGCAACCTTTTCTTGGGGTTTAACTGCCTTCGTGTCAAATTCATTTTTGACATCACAAATATCTAAAAGTTTTCCTTTTAATTTGGTTCTGATCTTAATTATTTAACACAATGCACACATGAAATCCTTGAGGTTCTTAGTAATACCAACTCAGGCTGATGATTTCGAAACTCAGGCAAATGACTTTACTTCGTAACCCAAAAGTAAAAGAGCCTAACCTCCATTCGAAGGGTTCTGACGGTTACAATTCCATCGGGTCAATAAGTACTGGCTGTTTGAGGAGACGTTTTCTATTCCTTCCGGTTTTCAAGGCGATGTGACAGTTACTTTTTGATGAATAGTAACTTTATCAATATCATGATGCACTTTTCTCGGTGCCACATCAGCATACATTCAATGCACATCCTACTTTAATTTCAAATTTCAAAGTTACATATAAACAGGGGTACAAGGGTTAATGATCCATTTACGCTTTCTTCATTCCATATACTCTCTGTAAATCAAATTCTCTCTGTTCATCATTTACTTCAAAACCCTATAAATGGTGAATGTTGCAAATGTTACGGCTGAACCTTCTCACAAAACGGATGATGTTACTTCTTTGCCAATCATGAAGATCCCGGGTACCAATTATCAGGTGGAATCCAATGTTTCAGTGTATCCTGAAGAACTTAAAATGTTGATTGTTGCTCTGCAAAACTCCATCTTATCAAAAGCAATGTTCAACTCCTTTTATGTTCCTCTCTCATGGTTATCATAAGCAGGATCAACCGCCACATATTCCAAAGGATTCGATGTTGTTACATTTAAGCTAATCTATGATAAAAAGGTTAGATTGACACAAAAGGTTTTCTGCAAAATTCTCGATATCCCAAATTCTCCACCATATCTTTCTTTCACATTTCCTCAAATTGTCCACATGTTCAAGGAAATGGTTCATCAACCCCAGCTAACTAAAATCAGCGATTTTAAGAAGTCGGGGCTTCCATGTGTATGGAATTTTCTTTTTGGGATTTTTCTCTGTTGTTTAACTGGCAGAACGGTAGGACTTGATAAGGGAAGAATGGAGGTATACGCCATGGTAGTAGGGCTGTATTATGATCTCCAGGTGGATTATTCGACTCAATTGTGGAAGGAATTTCAAAAGAGTATCGAGAATACAAATGTTTCTCATGGCATTTCATGTGCTAGGTACTGCAGCTTGATTTTGCAACATTTCTATGATACAGAAGGTATATTAGTTCCAACTAATAAGGAGAAGGCTATGTTTCACACATATAGTTGTCTGAAAGATGCAACGGATGATTTGGATGTGTTCCTGTTGTCAGCTCGTATCCCAGACGCGATGCTAAAGAGAATTGATCCTTCGAACCCAGTCTTGGTTTCTTACTTAGCAACCATCAATACTTCCATGGAAACTGGGATTCTTTTACCTCATATATCTGAAAAGAAGTCAAAGAAGTCGAAGACCACTGATGTTCGGTCTTCGGATACAAAAGTCAAGTCTTTAAAGAAAATGAAGCAGGTTCCTGTGATTGAACCTAAGCCAATTCAGCTAGAGCCGGTTATTCCTGATACCCAGGTCACTGAAAAGGAAGTCATTCCTTCGAAGGCTGGTGTATTCAAACGAATTAAGATGAAGTCGAAGAGAAGCGAAGATCATCAGGTACGAATGTTGTTCGTAAACCACAAGTATCTCATCAAGGGGTGATTTTTCGGGAAATTCCTGCCCTTGCTTCTCCATCATCAAAGAAGAGAATGGTTGTTGACATGGCTAAGCATATTTCTAAGAAGAAGAAGCATAAGTTGATTCTCTCTTCTGATTCTACAGCTGATGAGATAGAAGTTATTCCAGAGACTCCAGAACCAGTTCTTATCAACGAACCCTTTAAAGTTGATACTTTAGTGACTCAACCACCCGAAGTTTAGATTGCCGAGACAGTTATTGTGGAGGCTCAACCTTCAGAAATCCATGTAAACATATCTGATATGGATACAAATGTCATCATGGGTTAGGATACTTCGAATAATACAGCTAAAGGTAACACTTCGAATGTGGTTTCCGAATCTCTCATTTCTTTGCATTCTCAAATTACCCCTATTATTCCTAAAACATCTACCACTAATTCTCCCACATTTACTCACATTATTTCACATCCATTCATAAATCTCTTTTCTTCACAATCAACTGAACCACCTACCACTACCTCTCCACTGAAATATTCATTCTTGGAAACTGAAAATGAATCAAAAGGTTTTGGGGGAACCTTTGAAAACCTGGAGTTTGATGAAGAGGAAACTGATTTCCCGGATCATATGCTAATGACGATCAAAATATTTAAGATTTTGAATAAAAAGCTCAATTCAATTATTCAATCTCAAGATGACATTGGGGGAGGTCATGTTGTGTCAAGTCTGGAAGTTGATGGCATGTTGTCATTGCTTAAAGGTGTTGGATTAATGTCTAAGTCCATAACTATAATTGGTAAGACTTGACCCGACCCGGCATGGTCCATTTGGGTTGCATACCATCATGCACTTGGATAGACTAAATGAGAGAAATAAAACACTTATGGTTATTAATATATTATAAGTTCTAGTATATTAATAATAAGAATAATGAGATTATTTAATTAGTATTGATCAAGAATTAATCTAGGATTAATTGAGTGATCAAAAGAAGACTAATTAAATATATGGGTTGATTGTGTAAATCATCCATACTTGTATAGTGGGCTAATGCTCCATGGATTATCTAGTTGGGCCAAAACCCATATGATGCTCCATGGTGTATTTGAACCCATGGATCCAAGGAAATGGAAAGTCATGACAATTAGGGTTTACCCTAATTGTATAACTATATAAGCATCTTATTCTTGAGGAAAATCGGCCACTAGTGAGAAAAAGAAAGGGCTAGCCGATTTCATGAAGTGTAGAATTCTCTCTAAGTTATTCTAAGTGTTTTGATGATTGTGAACCATTTGAGGTGTCACACTTGGGGCACTAGGCACTCAAGCTTCATGAAGACAAGAACCATCAAAAAGGTATGTATTCTATCTTGTTATATTGATAGTTTTGTATGCTAGTTTAGGATAATACCTTGGATATTCATATTTGCATGTATAATAGAGAAAACATAGATCCAAGGTATTTAGGGTTGCATGTACACTTAGGAGTGTTAGAATGCTCATAACCCGACAGTGGTATCAGAGCCTAGGCTTGTTTTCTTGTTATACCTGCAATAGAAGCTGAAAAATCGATTTTTGATGCTCTCAGCCCAACAGACTCGCCGAGTCCATGAAGGGACTCGACGAGTCCAAGGCAAAATGCATCCAACTCGCCGAGTTATGTTCATGCACTCGACGAGTTGGACCCCATACAGCATATTTTCGAGGTTTTTGGCTAGAAATGGACTAGGAACATTACCCTAAGTTGTTTTTGAACTTATAAACTTGTTTTTAATGTGGTAATGTTCATGCTAATCCATTTTCAAAGATAATTGTCAATAGATTCATGTTTTGTATTAGTTTAAAGGTTAGACTAATTACATGAAAAAGTTTGATTTGAATTATCTTGTTCTTATGAGTTGCTTAGATTAATAGAAAAGTTAATTGAAATAGTTGTTCTCAATCCATTTTAAACTAAGAGTTGAGTATAAAATGTGTTTGTGTAACTTATCCTCAAGTTACATGAAGAGTCACATTAAAGACTCATAAAATTCATAAAGTTGGCAAATGTTACAAAAATGAAGAGTCTAGTACTAATTAATTGGAGTTATGACTCCATAATTTGTCCTCAAGTTATGGAGGACCAAGAGTCTCTTCATTAAATAAAAAAAAAATGTAACCTTAATTAATTCCATAAGTTATAAAAATAAAGAAAAGTTAATTCTTTTATTAGTTTAAAGTCTTCCATAAGTTATGGAACTTGAAGAGTTTTTCGATTAAAACTACTTTAAACACATAAGTTATGGAATTAATTAGTTTTGAATAGTTACAAAACTTGCCCTCAAGTTTTGGAATTTGTAAAGTTTTCTCTTATGAATACTTTAATTCCAAGTTAGCCCTTAGAATTTTAAGAGTTAAAATTCAACCCTTATACTTTATAATATAATAAGTTAATAATAATATATATGTATAAGAGTAAATTCAGTCTTACCGCTAGTACGCCTCATTCACGAAGCCGGTCTATAAGGTGGGTATAAGGTTGTTGCCTATAAAATGGCAACTTCATGGGTGTCCACTCTCACCCACCGCTTGCTTGACTGGTGGAGGGTCGTTAGCCGAACGGGTTTGACAGGACTATAATTCTCCTTTCATTAAAAGTATTAATGATAAATACTAAGTAACTAAAATCTTAATAATACCCAATCTTAGTTACTTAGGAAAATGTGAATAAGGTGCTAATCCATGAAATTACACTTTGCACTTTGTTTAAGTCGGTTAGTGGAGCGTGTGTGGTTAACCGGCACACTAACTCGTATTTAACAAGGTAGGCAAAGGGTAACATAATGTTTATCATAGTATCGATGGAGCGTGTGTGGTTAACCGGCACATCGATTGAGGGATAAACACTTAAGGGTACCAAGTAATTTGCATGGTTACTTCACACCTTGTTTTGTGATCCTCGGCATCCCAGTCACAAAACCTGAAGGGCACACTCGAGATTGAAACATGCCATTGAACAGTTCAATGAATCTCAAAAGATCTAGGAGTTTCAAATCCAATTAAAACCTAATAATACATTTCGTTTATCTTGGTGGAAATTGGTGAATTGTCATTCACCTACCTTCAAATTGTTTTATAGCTTGGATTACGGCATACCTCTTCTAAGTTATAAAATAGTTTGTTGGGTCCTAGCCTTAATATTTCATATTGGGTGTCATATTAAGGACTTTAAGATCAACTATCTTGAATATCTCCCAAAACATGTCTGTTTTAGACATTTATGATCTTCCCAAATCTCTTGAAACAAGCATTCCTAATGAAGATGATGTCCCATGGATATCATACTTCTTTCTCCTCCTCCAATTATTCTCCCTAACCCACAAGTTCTTGAAAAGTTTAAGATCACTCAAGCCCCATTGGCAAGGCAAGGTCTAGGTGTGATCACATCTTGGAGATGTAGTCACATATTGACAAGCCGGGAGAGAAGGGTGTCAAAGTCTTGAGAAAGTTGGTGGTTCAACTACTTTCTAAGTCACATAGTGAGTTCTTTTGGAACACCTATGAACAGACTATGACAAGACCCTTAATGATCTTATCTATTTGTTAAGATCAACTTCCTCAAAACTTGATGGACATTGACAATAGTGACATAGGAAATCCAGGAAAGCATTCTCTTCCCAATGGAAAGGGATCGGCCATAGTCAACTCGGTTGACCAAATGGTAAAGAGAAAAGGCTAAGTCTGTAATAGTCTCGTGTACCATTATCAAAGGTTCCATATGTTTATATTGCCAAAAGAAAGGGTCATTAGTTGCAAAGCTGCCAAATTTACCTAAGGATGTTAAAGTCAATAAGTTTGACTCTACTTCAGGTAAAGTCCACTATCTAACTCTGCTAAGTTTCTATTCTGAGATTCTTATTACATGATGTGACTGGGTCACATGTTGATGTTTTAAGAATCAAAGAAAAGTAAAGGAACTTAAAGAAAGAATATGTTGAATCTGATCGCATAGATGGATTTCTATCGCGTAGTTTGAAAAATTGGATTCTTGAGCTACTTCTTAGGAGTTATGAGATCTTGCTTAGGAATAGATAACAACAAGTTTTCATATGGATTGTAAGGATAAGTTTTTCCGCATAGTTTTAAAATAAAAGAAAATTTTTGATTTTATTTATTTTAAAATATCCTTACAATGGCATTTGAGGAAAAATTGTTGCTTATATGATTCCATTAATATCAAGAGTGGAAATATGAAAATGATTCCTTCATTTGTGGTAATGTATAAATTTACCAAATAAGGAAAGACTCTCATCATCCAAAGTCTCAATTAGACCAGGACTTGGAATCATGCAAGTTCTATAGCATGATGAATGAGAACTTTCAAGTATTGGAAAATTAAGACTGATTACTTGTTCACGTGAATGTGTGAGTCAAGTAATGGACTAAGGGATCGAGTACATAGTCTTGTGCACTGATTAAGTCCACCACAAAAGATATAAGGCTATACGTCATAGTTTACTAAAGCTTAGTAAATATGATTATACTTACAAGCATAAGTGTAACTCTGAGACATTGGAAAAGGTTTCAATGCATAGCAGAGCGGATAAGAAGAATCAAATTAGGCAAAAGGATAAAAGTTTCTCAAATCTGAAAAGATGGGAGAGTACTTTAGTATCAGCTTTGTGATCATCTTAATGATTAAGAAACCATATCAAAATTTTTTCTCTAAGGAAGTCTTAGTGCATTCTTATGACTAAGAAGAAGGGATCTTGAAATTGTTGAAATGGTTCAATCAAGAAGATGAGTCATACTTCGTTCCAATACAAGTCTTAGAGTCATACTCCAAGATTGTAATATGAGTAACATGTCTTAAAGAAGGTTTAAGAACACTTATCAAATGTAAGAGTAAAAGTTTTCTACTCTTGTACATTTGAAATTGGTAAGTTGTGATGTTTTGGATAAAACAAAGACCAACTTAGGCCAATTGTGTGAAGTGTTTTTCTTGGTTAGAATCCACACTATCTCTTGGATGTTTGACAAGGGAGTCTTATAGGTCAAGAGGACAGTGGGAGTCTTAAAGGTCTTGAAAGTCTCAAGAACTAATCAAGAATAAAACCTGAAGGTCTTCACTAGCACACGACTTGAGGTTTATAACCTATCGTGTTGACATATTCTGTGCCCATTTCAATCAAAGTTGGCTTTGCATATGAGTTCTTAATTCTCAATTGGTTGCACAACAACTTGGAAGCAATGGCATACCCT